ATTTTTTTATTAGAGCTGCATTTCACAGTTATGCCTTTATGACTGTAACACAAATACAGCTGTTGAAACTCTTGTTTGGTTCTGAAGTCTTCTTCTACTGTTTGAACTAATGAAAGAGCTCAGCAATACCAGTGTGCTGTATTTTGTTCTTTATAAACTTGTTTATTGCAAAGTTTTTGTTCTTTTTTTTTTTTTTTTTTCTCTCTAACATTACTACATTGCAGCATATATCAATGGAATTTCACACAGGGGTGATGATTTATCACAGAATCAGTCATTTCCTTTTCCTTCCACAAGAAAAAAAAAAGCTCACCCCTGTGCTTTTCCTAATTATGGAGTCCATTCTGCACTGAGGTATCTCCTACTGCTGCCTTTCAGAAAGAGAAGTGGTGTGATTTTGCATCTCCAAATATGTTAGTAGCTGCTACATAAATAAGCAGATCTGATGATGATAAAAGGGCTGAATTCTGCATGACATAATAGTGTGGTTGTTCTGGCATGGTAGATAATAGATCTACTGCAAAAGTCCTTCTAGTTAAGGCATGATTCACTGTGGAGGAAAGGAGCAATACACTGATGTATGTGTTGTCGTTCCTCTTGGACATACAGAGGGAACTTGGAACTTCCATGCACACAAAACGAAAGACTCAGGGGGCTTCAGCTCCACTTGGGTTGGCAGCAAATTTGTGCAGCTCAGAAGAATTGCTTGGGCTGCAGCAATGCTCTTAGCAAAGTTCTGGGCATGTTCAAAGGAAACCTGAGGATACTTGAGTCTTACTGATTGGAGTAATGGGACTAAGGCTGATCTGTATTTATTCTCAAAGAGCTGAAATTGCTGCACAATTGAGTTCAAATACTTGGAACTTAGTCTTGAAGTTGCAGATCACATTGATGAGGAAGTTATTTGAGGTATGAGCTCTTGCCTGTCTGTAGAACATGCTGGAAATATTTTTCCCTTCTTATGTAGAGTGAAAAGACTTTTACATTCTGTTTACTTTTCTGGTATACTGTGGCAGCAGGAAGCAGCATACAACTCACTAGTATTCCCTAATATATAACTATCATTTACCATTTTTCGTTCTTCTAAATATTTTTCTTTTCCTTGCATGCAGCAGTTTTGTGTGTTTTGGTTGTTGTGGTTTTTTTTTTTTTTTCCTTTCTCTTTTTTTTTTTTGTTCCCCCCCAAAAGTGTAATAAACAGTGTTCCTGGAATGGGATATTGAAATACTGGCAGCCACAAGGAAAGACAGTATTTGAGAACCCCCGCAGGAGAGAAACTTGTCTACTTTCTTAAACATATTAACTGAATGAGTTTATAAAACAGGGATAGTCTCTTCTATTACTCGTAAAACAGGAGCAAAGACTTACTGCAGTTGGAAATGATTTAGAGTGGCTTTTCTCTGCCAAATTCCAAATGGCTATTTTCTTTTATTCTTGTCAGCATATTTTTCAACAGTTCACAAAAGCTGATGTGCTATCTTGTGTTAAGGTTCAATTCTACAGAGGGTTGTGCTCCAGCTGTGAGGTGCTTGGTGTTCCACAGGCTCCTCCACTCTTCTGGAGGAGCAGGGAATGCTCAGTACCTTGCTGTATGGAGGCTAACTGAGATGGAAACTGTTGGTGTCATGAATGCTGTTATAGAAACCACAGCAGCTGGGTTCTTTCCTTAGCCCACATCAGAGTGAAAAGTTCTGGAACTGACTAGCTTCTACCAAATGCCTTTTTGTTTTCGGTGTTTACATTCTGACATTAATTCTAGGACACTAGTGGGAAACATTAGGCCTATTAAAAAGATTGTTGTCATATTCAGTAATTTTCTCACATGCATAATGGATATTTAAAAATCAAATGTTGTACAATCTCTAAAAGAAAATGTAATGGAAGGGCTTCCAGACAGTCTTGGAGGATCTGAAGCCTTTATTTTCCCTAACAGAACAGAAATGTTGCAGTGCAGATGGATCTGCCTACCCATAGCTGCATGGTGTGCTTGGGAGCACACCCACACCACACAATGCTAATGTATATGTTTTGTGTGGAGAGGGCAAAGAGGCTTCAGTCCTCTGACAAATGTGCTCCTGCTGTGTCACACTGTGCTACACTGTAAGGATTCCACAAGGTTAAATTTCAATGCCTAAACAATTTGTTCACAGTCTTTTCACAGTCTTTTTCTGATTCCTGACAAAGGAATGATTGCACAAGGCAAACCTTCAGAGCGATCTGATTGTGCAGAGCACAATTTAAATCAGACCTAGCATAAATATATCTTTACACTGGCTAGGCAGTTCTCTCCTAGGCCACTGGTTGTTTGGCCTTATGTCACAGAACTCTCCTGAACGATGCTACATCCCATTAGGCTGTGGCAGTGCAAAGTCCGCTCCCCCATACTTGGAGACCCCCTCAGCATTCCTTGGCTGGTAGGCTGCTTCCCTGCATCATATGTACTCCTTGTGGCTGGAGGCTTCCCTGGGGTTACATGTCTGCACAAGCAGAAATACAGCAGAAATATCACTGATTTGTATTTTAGGCTTACATTGCTAGGGTAAGAGTTGCTTTCCTGCAATATTTCACAAGCTCTGATGTACAGTGTTTCTCTACTATTCTCTCATTTGGCTTAAGCCATCATCTGAAACTATATTAATGTTAGTAATTGCTACTCTGGCAGGCTTCAAGTATGTATAATTTGTCTCAATTTCATAGAATAAAATGCAGATTTGCATTTTAATTCATTGTGTAAATGCTGTTTTCCTGCTAGTTTGTGACTATGATGCTAGAGAAGATGAAGAACAGGCACATTTTGCAGCATTTGGAGCCTGACACCACCTTTGAATGCTTGTCTCTTACCCCCCAACAGTGCCTGCTTCTGAGCTTAGGACATACAAGCATTTCAAGCAAGAGTCCCTCTCACAGAGCTGGCTTATTAAGATACACAAAATTAAGCCAGTGATTTGGCAGAATGAAATGTAAGTAGAGGCAGCCTTTAAATAATTTTGCCAGTTTCTTTGGCTGCAGCGTTGGGACTTTTCAACCCAGGTCTTTAAAGATCTTCTCTGAGGGACAGAGTCACGATTTTTGTCTGCGTTACTACAGCTATTATTACATCTACAGATGTAAACCAGGGCCTTCAAAGAACATGTGGATGGGTAAAACTTTCCCATATTTCATTCAGTGGATGGATTAACTGGCCTACAAAAGCTCCATTCTTTATCTGAATGACTGGAAACCAAGAGGATCTGAAAAGGGGAAATCCAAGGAGTTCAACTCCTGTGCATATAATATGTTCTGCATTTCCAGAAGGATTTACCAAGGGATTGCTTTGTCTCATCTGAAGTGATCAATCTGCTGGAGATCTGCATCTAAGAAGCAAATGAACAAAATGTTGAAGGAGCTGAATGGAACTGGTGAAGGAAGAAATTAATCTCATTTTGTGAAGTAAAGCATAAAGTTACTGTAATTAGGAAGTGGATGGAGGGTGGATAGATCCTCAAGTGTTTTTGGTTTGGTGTCAGGGGTTGTAAATTAGCCTGGCCAAAAGGGAGTATTAAGTGTGGAGGATGCCATGGGATTACCTTCAGTCACTCTGTGACTGGAGCAGAAATGAAATATGGAGTAGCATTGGATTGCAAAGCCAGTGGTTCCACTTCTTGTACTGCCATAAGACTGCTTTTTTTGGTTGTGGATAATTATTACAAATCCCTGTGTATCATCATCTTTGGCTGTGAAGTATCTGTGAAACTGTTGTTAACTTGCAGAAGTGCTGGGAAAATTAAATTCATATGAGAGGTCAATGCAGCAGAACTTAAGTTCTTTACAGCTAATACCATATTCAGATAGGAATATTGTTCAAGAACCTACAAAAATTTACCTAAGAAATCTTTGAGGTACTGTTTTTTACAATTTGAGTTGAGCTAAAAGCCAGTGGATTTTGAGCATTTCCTCAATTGACACAATTTGAAGGGATCTTGGAGAAAGGCAAAATTACAGTGTCTCTCATGACTATACTAAAACTATCAGTGTCATTTTTGTATAATGCTTAACTGTTAATATTGATGCTACTACTGTATTCTGCAGGCAGCTCTATAATTTAGCTAGTGAAAATACCAATTATGTTATTACTGCTGTACTGTATTTCTAGATACCACACAAAAGATTCAATTAGAAAATACATATAAGCAATACTAAAGCATATTATGATGATGAGATTGCCTTTTAAACGAGGAAATGGTGGTGTGCTGCCTTTCACAAGAAGTTGCTCTTCCTTGGGTTAAATACATTTCTTAGTTGTTTGAGTTCCCTCCCGCCCAGAGGTCTGATCACGGGGCTTGCTGCCTGCTCAGCGAAGTGCTGAGGACCAGCAAATCTACTGCCTGTAGCAGAAACCAGTTGTGTTCATTATCATGTATCAGCAAGCTGTGCAGAAGAGCAATGCGAGTCCACTAATGTCATCATCTTAACAAATTTCCACAGAGAGTGTGAAGGCTTGCTTTTTCTTCCTAAAAATATGCTTGTTTCTATTAGTGCCTTCCTCCAAACTGAGTTAAAGAATAGGTACTCAGATCAACTTTAGCAATTCTATATTTTGTTATTTTTATAACAGAAATCAAATTGGGTGGGGAGGAAGTGTGTTAATATCTGTCTTGAAACCAAAGTTCTTGATAATTTTTTTTGGTGTCAAAACGAGCAACAAAACTCTTCATAATCTTGTGACTAGATCTGTGCCCTTTTCTCTCAAGGATAGTTTTGACTTCACTGATGTAGACTGGTGATATGTCCTGTTTATAATTAGGTCTGATATCCTCTGTACATGTTCACCTTTCAATATTAGGTCAGTGTTAAAGTAATTATCAACCTGTAAGGTTGGATTACTACCAAGATTCAGCCTCTGTTGCCCCACAGTGCTATAAATTATATTGCAGGCTACTGTTAAAAATTAATAATATGCAACATATAGGTCTGATGGAATAATGTTAATGAGAATACTGAAGCTTCATTGACTTGCAATGTCATTAGAGCTCTGAGACAGGTTTATAGCCTTGTGCAATGTACATTTGTGTTGGTTTAGACACAGCATTTATTTGGTCACACCCAGCCAAATGTTTCCTTACTAAATTAAAATAAATGCTAGTTAGTTCAATGAGCTACAAAGATATATAGTGTCATTTCAGGTTCTCAAATCACAGAAAATAAGCCCCAACAACAGGAATCCGTAGAGAATAAAAAATTATGGCTATACTAGAGTGAATACAAACAAAGAAAGAAGGGCGTTTACTGAATTAGGTGAAGTTAATTTTTTATGACTTAAGCAATGTACAAAATTTGGAAAGAACAGCTCCCATTTGTAGTCTGCTGTGATCTTTATGTAACCCCTCCCTGTACACACATACATACACACTTGCAAGTGTGATTGACCAATATGTAATTGTGATGAGTTTGGTCTTTGCTTTCACAGGACTTGCTTCTGTAAAGTATCTTTAGTGACTGGAGGAGAGCAGATCGTTGGCAGGTCCTCTGCTCACTAATGCCAGCTGTATGGTACTGATTTCCATTAAGGTCAGCAGCACCCACCTGATTTCCCTTGCAGTGAGAATCAGGCACGGGATCTGTCTCACGTGTGCTCCTTTGTGCTCTGAACAGCTCTGCTTCTTGCTGCAAACAAAGCAGAAGTGATAAAATTTTTTTTTTTCTTCTGCATTACTGCTTCAAATGAGGGAATGGTAGGAAAATCTTTCTATAGCTTTTGGGGAGTGGCTCATGATCTCTGTTGGACAGTTAATCCCCTGCTGTGCATGGCAGGAGATAGAGAGATTAGAGGAACCAGTAACATACTGGTGTTGCAGCTGTTAACTGCTTTGGGAAATTAATACCTAAGAAAGCTTCATTTTTTCCATCTCCTTTCATGAGAAGCATATTCTTGCTCTAGCCATCTCCAGGTTTGGTCATGAGGCTTGTCTCTGCCTCCTGCTTTGGGGCCAGGTGGTTCCATCAGTCAGTGACACAGTGGCAGTGCTGCTGGTACCAGCCTAGCGTTGGCTCATGATTCCTACAAACATTTTGGGCTTATGGGAATGGAAAAGCAGGTAACTCCAGCATTTCTACAAGCAGTTTAACAATGTGAAACTTACTCCTTTCTGTCTCTCCAAAGAAAACCCTACTCCAGTTTATCTGTGAGGACTACAAGGGCTTGGAGCACACCAGAGAGAGGGAAACTTGGCAGGGGAAGGCTAGGAAGGGTTCGAGGAGAGCAGGTCTTGTACCTATGCTGCTTGTGTGCCACCACAGGCAGAGGCGTGGAGCTGAAATCCGTCTGTCCTTAATTGCACCCATTAAGATCCCATGGTACAGCCTATACCCAGAGGGCTGACAAGAATTACTGATGCTTCCCCTTGCCTCCAACCCATGTTCAGCAGCAGTGCACCAACCTTACCTTGTTGGGTCCGGCACTGGGAGGACTTCCACTTCTCAGGACCTCCCAGGGGTGTTGTGCATTAGTGCTTTGAAGTAAAAAACTGTTATGAGTGCTAAGTGTTATTACTGTTTACCAATGTGATCAATGCGGAGCTGACCCTAATTCATTTTCTATGGTAATTCCCTTGGTTGAAGTGCAGAAAATGAACCATTTTGATGACGGTGTTTTAAGAAGCTGCCATTTCAGAATCTGCAGCTATGCCTGTGGTACATCATCCTGTCTGACAGCAAGGGTGTGAAACCTGGCTATCTCTCTGAGGTGTGGAGCTGCAGTTTGGACCATCTCCCCATATTAATCTATTTTTTTTTATACTGGACATGACTTTTGAGTAACAAAGTCTCTTAAAATTTTTGCCGTTGACTTGAATTATAAGGAGGTAATGAATCCTTATTTCGGGCTTACCCCTTCCCCCTCCAGTTCTTTTTTAAAATCCTGATTTTGTGTTTATGCTAGTGTCGTTGTGCAATGGGAATGTTTGGTAAAATTGCTGTTTAATTTACAGAAGAAGAATGCTGTAGCAGCTGCTTTATAGCTATTTAACTACTCTGTCCTAAATGACTATACTTAAGTGATTAAAAACTAATTGAAAAGGAGAAAAAGTACAGGACCATCCTCTCTCTTTTTTTTTTTTTTCATTTTATGTGTTTATTTTTTAAAACATCTTTGAAACTGCTCTATAAACAATTTGAGTTCCTCTGCATAATACAGATGACAGAGGAAAGAATTCCAGTTTACTGGGACTTTTCTCTGATCACCTGAGAAAAATGACTTTTTCATCCTCTTGAAAATCATCTGGAGTTATAATAAAATGTGCTCTCAGCTGGATTCCTTCTGTGTGAAAATAGAGCTACATCATTGCACACCTAAAGGAAGGACACAGAACTACAAAAGCAATCTGAAATCTGGATTTTTCCTGCTCCTTGGAGACCACAAGTAATTTTCTGTAATCTTAATGAAAATTATTTGAATCTTGAAGGAGGGATATACCCCTCCCTTCCCCTCAATGTGAGCAGTCCAAAGGACCAGAGCTAGAGATCCTTTTATACACAGCCAAGTCGCCTGTCAGGATCACAGTGTGTGAAAACCCCAAGCAATAGCTAATGAAGGAACTGAAAAAATCCACAAAACTGAAATGTAGTTTGGGAAAAATTCCCTAGTAAGCTAATAAAACTTCAGCTGAACGTTCACTCCAATCTGTTGCAGATGAATGAAATGTGGTGCTAGTGTGTTGGAATCCTGGGGTGATAGACACATGAAGAATACATGAAAGAGGGATGTTAGTAAACTAGTGCTGCAGACAGGCCGTCCCACTTGTCTGGGGAGCTGGTCCTGCAAACCCACAGCCAGGCAAAGCTTTTGATTTGAGGGTGACTGTGCACTGAAGGAAGGTTCCTGGGCATATGGCAGTCAGATGACGGCAGCGCAGCTCCCGTGATGTGTTCTGGACTGGTGGAATGGTTAGATGACAAAACTCAGCAACT